TGGTACTGCCCTGAATATCCCGAGCAGCGAACGGAGGACAGCTTGATACTGCCATCGTTCAGAGAAAAAAAAGCAGGATTGAAAATACATTCTAAATGTGAGTTCACTTGCATAAAGTCGATTCTAGTATTATCTCCTGGGTAAGGTAGAACATTTTGGGCTCATAATAACCTAGCAATGGCTCAAATCGCTATCTATGGCGGAAGGTGCCTATTGTGGTTTGGGGCTGGGTACAAGGATTTAGGCCGAGACGTGTGATTGAATGGCGAGCTAGAGCTCACAAACCAGCTAGGATTTAGATTATTGCAAGCCACATTGGGGAGGTCTGCAATGGAATATATCAATCAAAATCCAAAATTGTTCCTTAATGAAATGTGTATAGAGACTGAAAAACACATTTTGCCAGGCTAACGTGCTGTGCCTGGTCGTCGTGAAATCAAGAAACCTTACAAGCGCTAGCAAGCTAATGCTAACTTGACGCTATCTCCAGCTAATTTTAAAAGTGACTGGACTGCAATACACAGGCCTTTGCGATTCGTGAACAATAAAATAAAACTGGTGCTGATAACGAATGAAAATGACCTTTTAGTAAATCCAACTCATTGGTAGCATTCAATTACGCTAGCTAACGTTAGCTGATTTGCTAACGGTATCTCTCCATCTTAAAATTCCGCAAGGGAATGCGACAGAGGGCGTAGCTAGCCAACTACCAACATCTTCAATGGACTGGAATCTAGCACGCTAGCTAGCGCTTTAGCAATGAGGTTGCCTACGGATCTTATAGGGCAATGCTGCAGTATTTCCGCTATGGACGTTCCATTGCTAAATCCGTGATTAAAGAATAGCAGGTTGTCATGTTATCGGATATATCGCGATAATAACTAATACAGTGGCAGTTAATTCATTTGGCCTTGGTATTTTAGGATACAATACTGTCATAGTATTCCAGGCATTGTAAATAAACATACGCAAGTGACAAATCAGACAGTCCAAATTTACTTGAGATAACATGGCCATAATAATACATTGGTTAAACGATAGAGATCCTATTAATTAAATGGGTTAAACAATATAGCTAAGATCCCCTGCGGCGTTGTCACTGAGTACTGTGACCATTTCGTGTATTTTTTCTATTGGTGTCTAACAGGGCATTTGAAACATTCCTTGCTCTAGGTGTACATCTAGAGCTGTGTTTCACCTCAATAATTTAAACAAAGTGAAGGTTAATTTCCTATAGTGGTTATTTAGAACTGTGTTTCCCAAACTTGGTCCTGGGGTCCTCCCTGTGGACACATTTTGGTTTTTGCTCTAGCACTACACAGCTGATTCAAATAATCAAAGCTTGATGATGAGTTGGTTATTTAAATCAGTTGTGTAGTGCTAGGGCAAAAACCAAAACGTGCACACAGAAGATGATAGTCTTCTGATTATGGCCTAAAAACTTCCTAGAGCCCCAATGGGACTTGATCGACAGTTGAAAGAATGTAGCGTCTGCAATATAAATTGATGACTTTCTTCAGCCTTTTTCACAAACACACTGCTAGGGACTAATAATGTGTAAGCATACGAGGCTGCATGGACGTGTATACTTGCCTACGTTTGGGTTATGCCTAAAACGTTTTTATAATAATTATCTAGCCTTCCTTGTCACATGTGTAACAATGTAAATGGCAGGGCATAAAATTCATGTTTTGGTACACCAGCCACTCAGATTTTTTACCAGCCAAAATATCCCCCCCCCCCCCCCCCCACTAAAGTTTAACCAAGAAAACACAAACAAACGGATGAGCATGCTTTGTAATGTTTCTAAAACACATGTATTACTAGTAAGGCGTAATGTGGTATATTGTTTATTTTCATTTTATGTGAGTCTTTTAACCAAAATATCACGATGTTAGTTTGTTGGTGATGTGGACACCAAGGAACTTGAAGCGCTCAACCTGCTCCACTACAGCCCCGTCGATGAGAATGGGGTGTGCTCGGTCCTCTTCTTTAACATGTAGTCCACAATCATCTCCTTTGCCTTGATCACGTTGAGGGAGAGGTTGCACCACACGGCCAGGTCTCTGACGACCTCCCTATAGGCTGTCTTGTCATTGTCGGTGATCAGGCCTACCACTGTTGTCATGGGCAAACTTAATGATGGTGTCGGAGTCGTGCCTGGCAATGCAGTCAAGAGTGAACAGGGATTACAGGAGGGGACTGAGCACGCACCCCTGAGGGGCCCCCGTGTTGAGGATCAGCGTGGCAGATGTGTTGTTACCTACCCTTACCACCTGGGGGCGGCCCGTCAGGAAGTCCTGGATCCAGTTGCAGAGGGAGGTGTTTAGTCCCAGGGTCCTTAGCTTAGTGATGAGGTTTGAGGGCACTATGGTGTTGAACGCTGAGCTGTAGTCAATGAATAGTGTTCTCACGTAGGTGTTCCTTTTGTCGAGGTGTGAAAGGGCAGTGTGGAGAGCAATAGAGATTCCATCATCTGTGGATCTGTTGGGGCAGTATGCAAATTGGAGTGGGTCTATGGTTTCTGGGATAATGGTGTTGATGTGAGCCATGACCAGCCTTTCAAAGCACTTCATGGCTACAGACGTGAGTGCCTCGGGTCGGTAGTCATTTAGGCAGGTTATCTTAGTGTCCTTGGGCACAGGGACTATGTTGGTCTGCTTGAAACATGTTGGTATTACAGACTCAGACAGGGAGAGGTTGAAAATGTCAGTAAAGACACTTGCCAGTTGGTCAGTGCATGCTCAGAGTACACGTCCTGGTAATCCGTCTGGTCCTGCGGCCTTGTGAATGTTGACCTGTTTAAAGGTCTTACTCACATCGGCTACGGAGAGCGTGATCACACAGTCGTCCGGAACAGCTGATGCTCTCATGCATGTTTCAGCGTTACTTGCCTCGAAGCGAGCATAGAAGTAATTTAGCTCGTCTGGTAGGCTCATGTCACTGGGCAGCTCGCGGCTGTGCTTCCCTTTGTAGTCTGTAATAGTTTGCAAGCCCTGCCACATCCGACGAGGATGTGGCAGCAACTGCAGCATTTATTTCACTATAAATGTGATCATACTTGACTATTTCTATTCGCAAATGCGAGTGAAATGCTCGCACTGTGGAGCCCTGACCACTTGCCAACGTGGCTGGTGAAATATCAATTTTACCCGCCAATGCCAAAATCTACCCGCATTTGGCAGGTAGCAGGTAGCGGGTGTTAATTTTAGGCCCTGGTAAATTGACTGGTCAGGCTAGGTTCACCGAGTTTCCAGTAGAGGGCGTAGCTACTCCAGGAATCCACTGAGGTGAAACCTCCTGGCTTAAAAACGGATGAAGCCGATGCAGTAAAAGACACAAAATTGGATGGTGCTTTCCTGCAACACAAGCTGTTGACTGACTGGCCTAGCCTATATAGACATTCAGATCAACAATAGAGCTATCTTCATTGTCATGGACGTGTTTTTAGCTTGGCTAGCGTGTCGTGTCCAAAAATGGTGTTGATATAGGCTAGCCTACTATAGGTTGAACGTTGCACGCATTCACACCAGATGGTGTCCTCCTTGCTATAACCTATTGCATATGGAACTTTGGTGTAGCCTACACTTCAAATGTTTATTAGGCCTACACAAATTGTGGTTGTGTTGTGAATCGAAGAGCAGGCAACACTTAGTGAATTAATAATATGAAAGGAGCTTCTTGGAGTCACTCAGACCAAAACACAGGCTATATGATAGGCCTAATACAAAAATGTTCGTCACTACAATGAATATACCTGAAATTACATAGACGAGTACACTTAATTATAGGTTTTATATGCATCTTGATTATTGGCTACTTCGTCACATTTGCACTATTTCGCTCGAGTTCCAGCAGTGGAGGGTCAAATCTGATATTTGACAACACTTTGACTTTTACGATGTTTCAATACAAAGGTACATGTTATATATCATATAATGTGCCTACTTTTTTCAGTGAAAGTACATGAATGTGTTAAATAGATGAGCAAAAATGTGTAATTTGGTCATGTATGCGAAAACCCTTTAGAATTTTGTATGACATCAGTAGCCTAGTCAAAGGTAGCATCATGCTAAAATATATTGGCACACTCCACTTAGACCAGGGTTCTTCAATTCCGGTCCTGGAGGGCCGAAACACCTCTGCTTTTCATCTTCTCCTTCTAATCGGGCGAATTCAGACCTGGGACACCAGGTGAGTGCAATTAACTACCAGGTAGAAATAAAAAACAGAAGTGTTTCGGTCCTCCAGGACCGGAATTGAAGAACCCTGACTTAGACCATAGGTAATAAATGAAACCAAGCAGTTTGATTGTTTAACAATCTGCCTCTGGTGGCCTAATTGACCTGTTGAAAAAATGCGATTGGATGGTGGCTCTACTGTTTAAGGTCTCTGATAGGTTATTTTGTTACTGGATCTAATTATCTGCTCAGCTGGTTAATTTAGCCAGGTTGGCCTGAGAGAAAAGCTAGCAGCTAGCCATTTTAGACCAATGGTTTAAACCACGGTCTAAGCAAAAGTTCACAAGTATGGCCCCTAAGGAAATAACTTCGGAGTAACTCCTGACTGGTATCTGAAAGGTTTTTCATTTTGACATATAATGTTCTGGAATTATTAATCAGTTTTAATATATAGCCTATTCAATACTCAGTAATTAGGCCAAATGGAATGTTTAACAAACCATATTTGTACATGGTTCTCTCATTTCTGATATAAAGACAACCCGATAGCATGTCCAGAGTTGTTTCAGGGTTGATGTCAATTCCATTTCAATTCAATCAGGAAGTAAACTGAAATTAAAAAGCATTGAAAAGCAAGTTTACTCAAGTTTATTTCCTAAATTGACTGAATAGAAACTGACCCCCTTGTTTTTCAAACCTGTTCGAAAATGACCATCCCTTTGGGTCCATAGAACCAGGATTGTAAAACTTTGATGCCTTTGTTGCTTGGTGTGACTATGACCACACCACAATGACTCCGTGCCCTTTCACAGCCTCGACATGGACAAGAACGACCTGGTACAGAAGGCTAAGCTGGCCGAGCAGGCCGAGCGCTACGACGACATGGCGGCGGCGATGAAGGCGGTGACGGAGCAGGGCGGCGAGCTCTCCAACGAGGAGCGCAACCTGCTGTCGGTGGCCTACAAGAACGTGGTGGGGGCACGTCGCTCCTCCTGGCGCGTCATCTCCAGCATCGAGCAAAAGACAGAGGGCAACGAGAAGAAGCAGCAGATGGCACGCGAGTACCGCGAGAAGATTGAGGCCGAGCTGCAGGACATCTGCAAGGACGTGCTGGTGAGAGAGCGCGGCCCCTTGCTACTCCCTATGGTCCCCCCTCGCTCTTAAATGAGGGGTCCCGTGATGTTATGGGGATGTGTGATATAATGTAACACTGGGGCTGTAGTTCAATTCATTTAGAGTCCAGGCAATTTAGGAATGCCTTATACTCAACAGGCATTTTTTCATTATGCATTCTGAATGTGAGCTGGAATGAATTTGACCCCAAAGCAAGGTTGCAAAGCATAATCTATTTTGGGTTCATCTTTTGTTTGGTCCTGTGTGTTGAAAGGGCGGACTTGAGTTGAATGACACCCAACCAACCCCTCTTTTTTTCCTGTTTTAGGCACTCCTCGACAATTACCTCATTGCCAATGCGACTCAGGCAGAAAGCAAGGTGTTCTACCTTAAAATGAAAGGCGACTACTACAGATATCTGTCTGAGGTGGCATCTGGAGAATCAAAGAAGAGTAAGTAGACATCTGTCCTATGAAGAAGCTTCTGAGTCACCCATATTCGTTAACCAGCCACTTTCCTTCAGCCTCTGATTATCATGGAAATAAGCAAAACCTCAAATTTGATGTCCACATACTACATAAGATCTAGACAATGTTGAATTAGTATCCATTATACAGGAGATGCGCTGTGAAATGAAACATGAATTCACTTCAACAAAAGCATGATGCCGTTTAATGAATTGGGCCTCTTCTCTCTCTCTGTCACAGCCACAGTGGAGAACTCCCAGCAGGCCTACCAGGAGGCCTTTGACATCAGCAAGAAGGACATGCAGCCGACACACCCCATCAGGCTGGGCCTCGCTCTCAACTTTTCCGTCTTCTACTATGAGATCCTCAACTCCCCCGAGCAGGCCTGCAGTTTGGCGAAGGCGGTGGGGCACCGTTATACACTCGCTCTCGCACAAACACACACACACACACACACGTTCCACCGTCACACAGCAGCGCCTGCGTGATCAGCGGGAGCCTGGCCTAACCGAATCAATACAGAGCGCAAACACGCCCCTCCTGCTCAGCTACACTGTATATACAAAAGTATGTGGACACACCTTCAAATTAGTGGATTCGGCTATTTCAGCCACACCCGTTACTGACAGGTGTATAAAATTGCGCACACAGCCATGCAATCTCCATAGACAAACACTGGCAGTAGAATGGCCTTACTGAAGGGCTCAGTGTCTTTCAACGTGGCACAGTCATAGGATGCCACCTTTCCAACAAGTCAGTTTGTCAAATTTCTGCCCTGCTGGAGCTTCCCCGGTCAACTGTAAGTGCTGTTATTGTGAAGTGGAAATGGCTCAGCCGCGAAGTGGTAGGCCACACAAGCTCACAGAACGGGACCGCTGAAGCGCGTAGCGTGTAAAAAATTGTCTGTCCTCGGTTCCAACACTCACTACTGAATTCCAAACTGCCTCTGGAAGCAACGTCAGCAAAATAACTGTTAGTCGGGAGCTTCATGAAATGGGTTTCCATGACCGAGCTGCCGCACACAAGCCTAAGATCACCATGCGATGGTGTAAAGCTCGCCGCCATTGGACTATGGGGCAGTGGAAACGTGTTCTCTGCAGTGATGAATCACGCTTCGCCATCTGGCAGTCTGACGGACGAACCTGGGTTTGGCGGATGCCAGGAAAACGCTACCTGCCCCAATGCATAGTGCCAACTGTAAAGTTTGGTGGAGGAGGAATAATGGTCTTTGGCTGTTTTTCATGGTTCGGGCTAGGCCCCTTAGTTCCAGTGAAGGGAAATCTTAACGCTACAGCATACATTCTAGACGATTCTGTGCTTCCAATGTTGTCGCAACAGTTTGGGGGAGGCCCTTTCTTGTTTCAGCATGACAATGCCCTCGTGCACAAAGCGAGGTCCATACAGAAATGGTTTGTCGAGATTGGTGTTGAAGAACTTGACTGGCCTGCACAGAGCCCTGACCGCAACCCCATCGAACACCTTTGGGATGAATTGGAACGCTGACTGCGAGCCCGGCCTAATCACCCAACATCAGTGCCCGACCTCACTAATGCTTGTGTGGCTGAATGGAAGTAAGTCCCCGCAGCCATGTTCCAACATCTAGTGGAAAGCCTTCCCAGAAGAGTGGAGGCTGTTATAGCAGCAAAGGGGGGGACCAACTCCATATTAATGCCCATGATTTTGAAATGAGATGTTCGATGAGCAGGTGTCCACATACTTTTGGTCATGTAGTGTATGTGTCACAAACCTGCTCATTAACACCGGTGCTCGTGCTGTTGGCATTTGCCAGATATTGAATCAAAAATAGACTTTGATGGATGGTGCTTTGTCATCTGGTATGCCCTTTTAGGGGTAATGCGTTTTAAAGTGTTTTGGAGGCATTGTAGGTTTTTGTATTCTGGGACTTTCAGAACATATTTTTTACCTCCTTCCATATGCCTGTTTTCCCTCTAGGCTTTCGACGAAGCGATTGCCGAGCTTGACACCTTGAACGAGGACTCTTACAAAGACAGCACCCTGATCATGCAGCTACTAAGGGACAACCTCACTGTAAGTGCTTACCGACAATACACGCCTTGCCAATGTAATGCCATTCAAATGCATTATCGTTTGATACTCTTGGAACTGAATACCTCGAGTGTATGAATCCAATGAACTCAATGGTTGGGTGTGTTTTTTTTCTTCCCCTCTGCAGCTGTGGACATCAGAAAACCAGGGTGACGAGGGGGATGCCGGCGAAGGGGAGAACTAAAGGCGTTGCACTTCACTGTTAATCCACCCACACTCTTCTCTCTCTCTCTCTCTTCTCTTACACATATACAGCCCGTACATTCCCGCTCCATCCAGCCCCTTCCTTTCTGTATGACAAGCAGCATGAATTGTACCTGACCTACCAGTTGTGCCCTTTTTCCGATATGCCCCGAGGCAACAGGGTAACGCTCAGTTGTTAACAAGCAGTCTTGTTTTGTGAGGATAAAAAAGAAATAAAAATTGCCCAGTTGAGTGGCAAGGCCATTCCCTCCTCCCCCCTCCCTCCCTTTTGATTCCCTCCAAAACATTTCAAAAATATGTTCTTTCACCTAGCAAGTTATGCATTTATAGTATCCTTTTTTTGCTTTCCTAGTGTACTAGCGATTGCTGGTTTTACTCAAAAAGGTTATTAAACTGTCTGTTTATTTTCAACAAACACTGTGATGCTTAGTTTTTCTCCACATAATCACAAAAATTCTGGTTGATAAAATTCAGCACTTTATGGTTTGAGTAGCAGTGCAATTCTGCTGTGGCCTCATACAGAATGGTATAACAGGCTGTATTGTGACACTGACTAACATGCATATTGCTGTGTATTGTACGTTTATTTTGCATATTGAATTAAAATGAATAAAAGGGACCCTAGGTTTTGCCATTCCACATCTGTCCAGTTGAAAATAAGAAAAATATAACATTCCATCAGAACCTAGCATTAAGACAATATACCTTTTTTGAACAAACCCGGAACATTCTCCTTATGTGCTGTCCTAGAACAGTTGACATAAAGGTGCTGTTTGAAAATAGTACAATGATCCTTGTTTGTTCTTAAATGTTACTTTTTGCTTTGCGTAATAATAATGACTCACACTTTGGTTCAAAACTGTAAATTGTAAACATTTTTAGAGTTAAATATAAATCTGTCTTAAATGTGATGTTGTTAACCTGCTTGCAAACAAACACCTTAAAGCCGTTAAGTTGAACTTTGACATCTTGGTTATTCAAGCCTTTCTTGACAGCCTTATGCTGACAGTCCAAACTGACCAGTCAAAAGTTATGTATGTTTCCTTCATGAAATGATATCTAAGCGAATGCATGCTTTTGCCCACGACGAGTGTGTTAGCAAGTCCCCTAATGTAAGTTGTGTAAGGGGGTTGTCTATCATAGTCGGAGATGGCATTGATGCTTTTGTTTTGTGCATCTCGAGACTTAAGGTGTATCAGAGGAGACCATATTGTAGTGGAATGTGGTCAGTGGATGGGTTAGATTCTGGAGTAGTGCAAGGACCCTGTAGAGGAAGCTGAATTCACTCAGTGTCACAATACCTTGTCATCACCATAACATTCCACTTAGGTGTAGAATTGATCTGTCTCAGTCGGTCTTGCTGAAGACGATGTTTCATGCACTGAAGAAAAATCTCCCCCTTAGCTGAACAAATGGCAGTTATTCTACGCTTGATTTAAAAAATAATGCAGTAGTGAATGTGAAACCGAGCCTGTCTGTATATCTGGTATCTCCAATTGCTTTATTTTTACTGACCGGTATTCTTTCTAAAGTTTGCTTCTGTGACGGTTTTATTGCTTAGTGCGCACGTGGTTGTGAAATTTTAGAATAGCATAAAAAAAAAAAAAATACAACAAACAAAAAAACTGGTTATTGACGTAATACTAGATGTGTATGTCTTTTAAAACAGTTCTAGTTTCACCTTACATGTTATCAGGAAAGTGTAAAAGACAATTTAAAGTGAAATAAAAGTTTTATCAGTTCCAAATGTTCCTGTTTTGTTTTTGTAACCACTGGTTTGTGTCTCTGACAGAGTTGCTGCCTAAAAAAAAAAGAAATGTAAAACACCAGTTGAAAACTTTGGCTACTTATTTGACAGAAAAATTGCATTCCACCTCAGAAAAAAGGCTTAATCTTTTCCTCAGGCGTCCTATTTTTATTTGTTCCAGTCTACTAGGGGCTCTTGAATATTTTAAACGGGGTAGTTTGGGTCCTGGATGCTGATTGGCTGAAAGCTGTGGTATATCAGACCATATACCACAGGTATGACAAAACATTTATTTTTACTGCTCTAATTAGGTTGGTAACCAGTTTATAATAGCAATAAGGCACCTCGGGCCACACCTCCTCGGGCCTTATTGCTTAAATATATTCCACAAAACCTAGAAATTGAAATGAAGCATCAAGGCATTACACTATATACAAAAGTATGTGGACACCCCTTCAAATTAGTGGATTTGGCTATTTCAGCCACAGCCGTTGCTGACAGGTGTATAAAATCGAGCACAGCCATGCAATCTCCATAGACAAACATTGGCAGTAGAATGGCATTACTGAAGAGCTCAGTTACTTTCAACGTGGCACCGTTATAGGATGCCACCTTTCCAACAAGTCAGTTCGTCAAATTTCTGCCCTGGTCAACTGTAAGTGCTGTTATTGTGAAGTGGAAACGTCTAGGAGCAACAATGGCTCAGCCGCGAAGTGGTAGGCCGAGTGCTGAAGCACGTCCTCAGTTGCAATACTCACTACCGAGTTCCAAACTGCCTCTGGAAGCAACGTAATATTTCTTCACAGGTTCCCGAGACAAAATGTACATTTGTTGTATAATTTTACTGCAAGAAACACATCATTCTGCAGGAGTTAATATTATAATAGGAGAGGTTATAGGCCTATAGTCACTGTCCATATTTCAGTTACTATATTTAACCCATATTAATTTAAATTAGGAATATTCTGTTTATTCATGGTTACAGGAATATCAAAGGTGCATGTAAACAGCTAATCCGAATAACGGGATATGAGCTACTATCCAGAATGCTTGCTCATTTGGATGCCTGGGTTACTGTTGAGCACTTTCTGGGAGTGGGAGTGTCATTTCAACTACTCCGGTGTGAGCTGACTAATCTACCAGCTCACGTTTGTTGCCTATGGTTATGTTCCTCTTCTCAAATGTTGCTGATCTTACAATGCCTTACAATTGTCAACATGTCAGGTGATATAAACTCAGTAAAAAAATGTACGTCCCTTTTTCAGGACCCTGTCTTTCAAAGATAATTAGTAGAAATCCAAATAACTTCACAGATCTTCATTGTAAAGGGTTTAAACACTGTTTCCCATGCTTGTTCAATGAACCATAAACAATTAATAAACATGCACCTGTGGAACGGTCGTTAAGACACTAACAGCTTACAGACGGTAGGCAATTAAGGTCACAGTTATGAAAACGTAGGACACTAAAGACGCCTTTCTACTGACTCTGAAAAACACCAAAAGAAAGATACCCAGGGTCCCTGCTCATCTGCGTGAATGTGCCTTAGGCATGCTGCAAGGAGGCATGAGGACTGCATATGTGGCCAGGTCAATAAATTGCAATGTCCGTACTGTGAGACGCCTAAGACAGCGCTACAGGGAGACAGGACGGACAGCTGATCGTCCTCGCAGTGGCAGACCACGTGTAACAACACCTGCACAGGATCGGTACATCCGAACATCACACCTGCGGGACAGGTACTGGATGGCAACAACTGCCCGAGTTACACCAGGAACTCACATCAGTGCTCAGACTGTCCGCAATAGGCTGAGAAAGGCTGGACTGATGGCTTGTAGGCCTGTTGTAAGGCAGGTCCTCACCAGACATCATCGGCAACAACGTCGCCTATGGGCACAAACCCACCGTCGCTGGACCATGCAGGACTGGCAAAAAGTGCTCTTCACTGACGAGTCACGGTTTTGTCTCACCAGGGGTGATGGTCGGATTCGCGTTTATCATCGAAGGAATTAGCGTTACACCGAGGCCTGTACTCTGGAGCAGGATCGATTTGGAGGTGGAGGGTCCGTCATGGTCTGGGGCAGTGTGTCACAGCATCATCGGACTGAGCTTGTTGTCATTGCAGGCAATCTCAACGCTGTGCGTTACAGGGAAGACATCCTCCTCCCTCATGTGGTAGCCTTCCTGCAGGCTCATCCTGACATGACCCTCCAGCATGACAATGCCACCAGCCATACTGCTCGTTCTGTGCGTGATTTCCTGCAAGACAGGAATGTCAGTGTTTTGCTATGGCCAGTGAAGAGCCTAGATCTCAATCCCATTGAGCACGTCTGGGACCTGTTGGATCGGAGGGTGAGGGCTAGGGCCATTCCCCCCCAGAAATGTCTGGGAACTTGTAGGTGCCTTGGTGGAAGAGTGGGGTAACATCTCAAAGCAAGAACTGGCAAATCTGGTGCAGTCCATGAGGAGGAGATGCACTGCAGTACTTAATGCAGCTGGTGGCCACACCAGATACTGACTGTTACTTTTGATTTTGACCCCCCCTTTGTTCAGGGACACATTATTCAATTTCTGTTAGTCACATGTCTGTGGAACTTCTTCAGTTTATGTCTCAGTTGTTGAATCTTGTTATGTTCATACAAATATGTACACATGTTATGTTTGCTGAAAATAAACGCAGTTGAGAGTGAGAGGCCGTTTCTTTTTTTGCGGAGTTTAGATGGTAATATGTTTCAATATGCTCTTAAATGCAACATGTAAAGTGTTGGTCCTATGTTTCAAGAGCACAAATTTGGTTACATCCCTGTTAGTGAGCATTTCTCCTTTGCCAAGATAATCCATCCACCTGACAGGTGTGGCATATCAAGAAGCTGATTAAACAGCATCATTAAACAGGTGCATCTTGTGCTGGGGACAATAAAAAGCCACTAAAATGTGCAGTTTTGTCACACAACACAATGCCACAGATGTCTCAAGTTTTGAGGGAGCATGCAAACTTTATTTTTGAGAATTTGGCATAATGTCCAACCGGCCTCACATAACCATGCCAGCCCAGGACCACCCAGACAGCTGATGAAAAGTATTTCTGTCTGTAATAAAGCCCTGTTGTGGGGAAAAATTAATTTCGATTGGCTGGGACTGGCTCCCCAGTGGTTGGGCCCCTGCCCAGTCATGTGAAATCCATAGATTAGGGCTTAAAGAATTCATTTCAATTGACTGACTTCGTTATATGAACTTTAACTCAGTAAAATCGTTCAAATTGTCGCATGTTGCGTTTATATTTTTGTTCAGTATAATACGGTAACCATCCGTCTCTCTGGTCTAGTGTTCCTTCCTAGACTCAATGAAAAGGTCATAGTCTGTTGTAGATATCCATACAATTTTAAGATAACTATGATCTTAAAGGGATAGTTTACTTATATAGGTACAATAATAACATAATAGAAATAGGTGCATATATTAGCATTTTCATGTGTCATGTCCAAATCATTCTAAAGTATCTAAAAATGTATTGTGTAACTCAATTAAGTTACTTATAGATAATTTGGACATGAGGTGCAAAAATTCTAATTTACAGTGCATTCCGAAAGTATTTAGACCCCTTGACTTTTTCCACATTTTATTACGTTACAGCCTTATTCTAAAATGGATTTAAAAAATAATAATCCTCATCAATCTACACACAATACCCCATAATGACAAAGCAAAAACAGGTTTTAGCAAATTTTTGCAAATGTATTAAAGATAAAAACCATAAAAACCTTATTTACTTAAGTATTCAGACCCTTTGCTATGAGACTCAAAATTGAGCTCAGGTGCATCCTGTTTCCATTGATCATCCTTGACATGTTTCTACAACTTGATTGGAGTCCACCTGTGGTAAATTCAATTGATCTGACATGATTTGGAAAGGCACACACCTGTCTATATAAGGTTCCACACTTGACAGTGCATGTCAGAGCAAAAACCAAGCCATGAGGTCGAAGGAATTGTCCGTAGAGCTCCGAGACAGGATTGTGTTGAAGCACAGATCTGGGGAAGGGTTCCAAAAATGTCTGCAGCATTGAAGGTCCCCAAGAACAAAGTGGCCTCCATCATTCTTAAACGGAAGAAGTTTGGAACTACCAAGACTCTTCCTAGAACTGGCCTTCTGGCCAAACAGAGCAATCGGGGGAGAAGGGACTTGGTCAGGGAGGTGACCAAGAACCCAATGGTCACTCTGACAGAGCTCCAGAGTTCATCTGTGGAGATGGGAGAACCTTCCAGAAGGACAACCATCTCTGCAGCACTCCACCAATCAGGCCTTTATAGTAGAGTGGCCAGACGGAAGCCACTTCTCAGTAAAAGGGGCTGTGCCGGTCTTGACACCTTAACACTCTGCCATAAATTAGAAAGGAGGAGAATCTATCTGTGGTCCTCTAGTATGGTGAAAGGAATGTGCTTTGTCCCCCAGAAGACTTTTGCAGCCAAAATTATAACGTCCAAAAAGTAAACACTGGAACAATATTCCTAACATCCAAGTGTTTGGAATGGTCAGTAGGGATCTAAAGACTAATCATGTCATATTGTGTATTATTTTGTGATGTCATTAAAAATGTTATAACAAAAATAGAGTAATTTGGAAAGTATACAACTTTATCTGTCAAGTTTACATCCAATTGTGTATATATATTATGGAGAATTACGAGAGTATTTTTGTGAAGATAGGAATCTCATTTTAGTTTTCTAACAAGATCATAGATTTTCATATAAGCTATGCACGGTGACTAGACACGCCCAAGTGAGCTCAGAGACCATGTCAGCAAGTTGGAACGCCCCTTTTACCAGAGTGCATAAAAAGCCTTGGTAACGAAATGTACATTAGACCAGAAAGCGTGGAGACGGTAGTCCACGGCTGAAATGGTTAGAACTTTGAATCTCTACACAAGGAGAAGAAGATGAACTCACTAGACCAGAACATTGCCAGTCTACAGCTGTACATGTAAAGTGATCTAGAACTTTGACTAACCACACGAGGTGGGAAGAAAGGAGAATCCCATCTCAGACAACCAGTAGAATGCATCTGAGTATCTGTTCTATTTGAACACTCCACTCCCAGCCAGGCCAACTAAGGACGTTGTGACCTCTGGTGGACAAGCAGAGCCTTACACTGAAACGGGACACTAAAACCTACCCCTTCCCATAGAAGGATTGATTGGTTTCAACGGAGAGACGAAGAACAAAGACATCTACACGTAAATACATTCATGACTTCTTACCCAAAAGGGCGGTGGTTCGTGAGCAAGTATTATGATTACTTTGAGGGTAGCTTCCAAATGTATCAACGATAAGTTTGACTCTCTCTTTGTCTCTCCCTCTCCACCCCTCCCTCTTTTGATAAGCAAGCGGTCATGCTGTTGTTAGTCCGCTAGGGACATTTTCTCATGTATTAAGTATGTATGTTATTATTTAGAGAGCTAGTAAATAAATAAGCCAATATGTGTAGTGGTGAATCATAAGTAAAGCTGGGGTTCTTGCGGATCTAAGAATTCTGCGACCGTTCAGAATGACGACTGATAAGAGGTAATGATTGATACGTTGACTGTTTTATACATACTGATAGGTAAAGACCTTTTAGAGTTTAATTCGGGATTTGGTAACTATAAACAACTTCTTCCGTGGTGCCCCAAATCCTAATGAGTTGTTACATTATTAATTTAATCGAGTAACAATTAAACATAGTTGATTCGATAAATAACAGTCATCATATTAATGAAAGTCACGTCACGACACAAGCTTGTAGTGTCATACCCAAGAAGACTCTAGGCTGTAATCGCTGCCAAAGGTGATTCAACTAAGTACTGAGTAAAGGGTCTGAATAATTATGCAAACGTGATAATTCCTTCTTTTTTTGTGGGGTATTGTGTGTAGATTGATGAGGGAGGAAAAAACTATTTAATACATTTTAGAATAAGGCTGTAACAAAATGTGGAAAAGTCAAGGGGTCTGAATACTTTCCGAATGCACCGTATGTACCATTGAGTTGCATTGGATTTGTGCCACAAATGCTAAAAAGTTAGCATTCGAAAACAGTGGCCATGTAAACAAAAGCAACGCATGGATTGTTTTCATACCTTGTCCATAGACTGCTTACAGAGTAAAGAAACAAATATGTAATTTTGTTATGTGGGTGAATTATCCCTTTAACTACAACAGTTATTTTATTGATCATGACATGACTAACATAAATGAAACATTGTTTGATAAACAAACAATCTCTTATTATACTAGTGGAAATACAGTACAAATGAATAGTCCTTGTTAAACAATTGTTGAATGCTATATTTCCAGTTTCATGCAGTGATTGCATTATGTATATGAAGGCTAAATATGCAATGCATTAACTGTGCTTCCTCTCACAGCAATACTCCAACTTGAGTGCGTTTAAAGGATACTTTTATTTATTTTTTTACAACCAAATCTCAATTTGTTGTGTACATTTCATGTACAGAAGGGTCCAGACACCTTTTTTCAGATTTCGCTTGTTTTTGAGAAGCACTTACCCCAAACAGCAAATCACTTCCTCATCCTCTTTGTGCAGTATTGGGGCCCTAAAAAAAAAAAAAAAAAAAACACCCAAATACGTCATTTTAGAAACGGCAAAGCTCTCAGTATAATGATGCAGGTCTTTAGACATTGTACACATGAAATTGTCATTCCAAACTTTATCTGCAACGTTATATCCCCTTCTGTGCGACTCCAGCCGTTTCCCCTATCCAGCTGTTCCATTCTGTGTAGCCTGCTGCTACAGGTAACTGTAAAAATAAAGGAAACACCAACATAAATTGTCTTAATAGGGCGTTGGGCCACCACGAGCCGACAGAACAGCTTCAATGCGCCTTTGCATAGAGTGTCTGGAACTTCCTGTTTGGAAGCACCCCATGCTTTCAATATACTCTGTATCCCTCATTTACTCAAGTGTTTCCTTTATTTTGGCAGTTACCCGTAGAATGGACAGAGCGGTATCACAACAAAATGTAATATAACGTTTTGCGGATTAAGTTCTAAATGACACAATATCATGTGTACAACATCTAAAGACCTGCATACCTATGCGGAGAGCTTTGCCGTTTCTAAAAGGACGTATTTGGGTGTTTTTTAGCCTTTGTTCATGTTTTTTCAGGGCCCCCATACTACACAACAAGGATGAGGAAGTGATTTTCTGTTTGTGGTAAGTTTCTCAAAAACAAGTAAAATCACAAAAAAGGTATCTGGACCCTCCTATAACATTCCATTTACATCAAACATAGAAATATGGTTGTAAAAAAAAAGAACTTCTCTAAGTTAAAGAGGCCAGGAAATAGATAGGAAAAACTGCTTCTGTGGGTGAATACAGGCACTTCAGGCATGTACACCAGGTCAGCATAGGGTCCTTCACATCCACAGGCATCCGAATCACAAGCTCACTTTTTCTTTTGCACGTTCAGCAGTAAATTCTGTGCGGCTATGTTCTTTGGCTCAATCTTCAGCAAGCTGTTTAGATCTTCAACGCAAGCTTTGTAATCCTGAAGGGCAAAATTAACACAAATCAAACAAAATGCTAAAACAGGTACATACGATCTATACACTACATTTCTTGTTCATCGGAAAGGCTCTTACTTTCAGCTCCTTGTGTGCTTGAGCTCGTCTGTACAGTGCCTTGATATTAGCAGAGTCGAGCTGCAGGGCTGCTTCACAATCTCGCACTGCCTCCTTGTACATCTTCACAGAGAGGTAGCAGAGTGCCCTGTTTAGTACAAAGGCACAAATTAGTCCCCATATAGAAATTATGCACATCCCAAGTCTGACAGGAGCTGGGCAATAACATTTTACAGAATTATATGACAATGCAGAGATGGGAATACCACTCCAAAGGTTTCTTTGGCATTTGTCTACACACCAGATAGACATTATAAGCCTCACCTATTTGTGTACGTTGTGATTTCTGAGGAATTGTGTTTGAGGCTCTGAGTGTATTTCTCTATGGCTTTCTTGTACTCAGTTTTTTTCACCAGTGCATTGCCTTCCTCTTTCAGGCATAGGGCTTTTTTAATGACATCCTCTCCTGGGACTGAAAGAAAAAAAATAGACATCTTATTTATGACACTACTTTGTACACTTTTGTGTATATTTCTGTTACAGGTTGTGCAAAGAAGATTATTAACAGTTTTCTGTTTCCATTCATATTTGGACAGCAAAACAAGACTGAATCATATGAAAGACAAACCAGATGTATCTTTTTCTCTGGTGCCATTGTGCGTCGTTTGTTGGCGTGTTGCCTGAGACAATTTTTCTTTGACGGCCATTGGAACAGTGGGAATGGGTGGGAGCTTCTCTCGCCATGATTGTCCATCCACCTCTGTCAGACACTTTGTCATTCTGGAAGGAAAGGGGGTTATCCAGTTGTACATTCCACTATCTTGATTATGTCCTCTATGCGTGACATAGAGAAGTTTCCAGAAGTTAAAGGACTTGAAAGGCTTTTAGTGAACAAGAATAAGTTCAAATGGATATGTTTTACCTGTTGGTACCATCTTGGGCTGCAGGTATGTTACAGTCTATCTGTAAGGCCGTCTTGTAGTCCACGTAGGCTAACCTGTATCTCTCAAGTGCTTCATATGCTGCACCCCGGCGAAGGAGAGGCTTGATGGCAAACGGAACCAGGTCAAGAGATCTATAAAATAAAAAATGTTTTAGGTATGAGTGTTGCTGCTGTAGCAAGTACAAAAAAGACAGAACCTATTCAACAACACACAAAGTAATGAGCTACTAGAGTATTGGGAAAATATGTTGATACATTTTAGGTAATAGTGTTACTTCACCAGTATGAACCACCTGTAGCCCTGATCATGACTCTCAGTTCCATTACATTACACATAAAAATCATTGGACGAAGGAGTCTTCTGTAGGGGGGAGTTTTGTTAAGAGCCACGACGCTCGGTCTGAATATTAACACGCATTGCTTGCCGTACGGTTTTGGAAGAATAAGGACCTTATCTTTCATATCGGCAAGAAATAATAATAATAAAAATTTAAAAAAGGTTAAATTGATAAATCAAATGATCAAATCCAATCAAATTGTATTTGCCACATGCGCCGAATACAACAGGTGTAGACATTACAGTGAAATGCTTACTTACAAGTCCTTAACCAACAATGCAAAGTAAAACAAATACAAAAAGTGTTAAGCAAAAAATAAATAAAAGCGAATCACTAAAGAGCAGCAGTAAAATAAAATAACAGTAGGGAGGCTATATACAGGGGGGTACCAGTGCAGAGTCAATGTGCGGGGGCACCGGCTAGTCGAGCTAATTGAGGTAATATGTACATGTGGGTAGAGTTAAAGTGACTATGCATAAATAATATAAAGAGTAGCAGCAGAGTAAAAAAGGGGGAGAGGGTGGGGGTGGGGGTGCAGTGCAAATTGTCCGGGTAGCCATGATTAGCTGTTCAGGAGTCTTATGGCTTGGGGGTAGAAGCTGTTGAGAAGCCATTTGGACTTGGCGCTCCGGTACCGCTTGCCATGCGGTAGCAGAGAGAACAGTCTATGGACTAGGGTGGCTGGAGTCTTTGACAATTTTGAGGGCCTTCCTCTGACACCGCCTGGTATAAAGGTCCTGGATGTCAGGAAGCTTGGCCCCAGTGATGTACTAGGCCGTACGCACTACCCTCTGTAGTGCCTTGCGGTCGGAGGCAGAGCAGTTGCCATACCAGGTGGTGATGCAACCAGTCAGGATGCTCTCGATGGTGCAGCTGTATAACTTTTTGAGGATCTGAGGACCCATGACAAATGTTTTCAGTCTCCTGAGGGGGAATAGGCTTTGTCGTGCCCTCTTCACGACTTGGAGTGTTTGGACCATGATAGTTCGTTGGTGATGTGGACACCAAGGAACTTCAAGCTCTCAACCTGTTCCACTACATCCCCGTCGATGAGAATGGGGGCGTGCTCAGTCCTCTCCTTTGTCTTGATCACGCTGAGGGAGAGGTTGTTATCCTGGCACCACACGGCCAGGTCTCTGACCTCCTCCCTATAGGCTGTCTCATCGTTGTCGGTGATCAGGCCTACCACTATTGTGTTGTCGGCAAACTTAATGATGGTGTTGGAGTCGTGCCTGGCCATGCAGTCATGGGTGAACAGGGAGTACAGGAGGGGACTGAGCACGCACCCCTGAGGGGCCCCCGTGTTGAGGATCAGCGTGGCGGATGTGTTGTTACCTACTCTTACCACCTGGGGGCGGCCCGTCAGGAAGTCCAGGATCCAGTTGCAGAGGGAGGTGTTTAGTCCCAGGATCCTTAGCTTAGTGATGAGCTTTGAGGGCACTATGGTGTTGAACGCTGAGCTGTAGTCAATGAATAGCATTCTCACGTAGGTGTTCCTCTTGTCCAGGTGGGAAAAGGCAGTGTGGAGTGCAATAGAGATTGCATCATCTGTGGATCTGTTGGGGCAGTATGCAAATTGGAGTGGGTGTAGGGTTTCTGGGATAATGGTGTTGATGTGAGCCATGACAAGCCTTTCAAAGCACTTCATGGCTACAGACGTGAGTGCTACGGGTCGGTAGTCATTTAGGCAGGTTATCTTAGTGCCCTTGGGCACAGGGACTATGGTGGTCTGCTTGAAACATGTTGGTATTACAGACTCAGTCAGGGACATGTTGTAAATGTCAGTGAAGACACTTGCCAGTTGGTCAGCACATGCTCAGAGTACACGTCCTGGTAATCCGTCTGGCCCTGCGGCCTTGTGAATGTTGACCACATAGTCATCCTGAACAGCTGGTGCTCCTTGACAGCGGCAGCTCTAGCCTTTAGCTCAGTGCGGATGTTGCCTGTAATCCATGGCTTCTGGTTGGGGTATGTACGTACGGTCACTGTGGGGACGACGTCATCGATGCACTTATTGATGAAGCCAGTGACTGATGTGGCGTACTCCTCAATGCTATCTGAAGAATCCCAGAACATATTCCAGTCTGTGCTAGCAAAACAGTCCTGTAGCTTAGCATCTGCGTCATCTGACCACTTTTTTTATTAACTGAGTCACTGGTGCTTCCTACTTTAGTTTTTGCTTATAAGCAGCAATCAGGAGGATAGAGGTATGGTCGGATTTGCCAAATGGAGGGCGAGGGAGAGCTTTGTATGCGTCTCTGTGTGTGGAGTAAAGGTGGTCTAGAGTTTTTTTTTCCCTCTGGTTGCACATTTAACATGCTGGTAGAAATTAGGTAGAACGGATTTAAGTTTCCCTGCATTAAAGTCCCCGGCCACTAGGACCACTGCCTCTGGATGAGCGTTTTCCTGTTTACTTATGGCCTTATACAGCTCATTGAGTGCAGTCTTAGTGCCAGCATTGGTTTGTGGTGGTATATAGACAGCTACGAATAATATAGAAGAAAACTCTCTTGGTAAATAGTGTGGTCTACAGCTTATCATGAGATACTCTACCTCAGGCAAGCAAAACCTTGAGACTTCGTTAGTATTAGATTTTTTGCACCAGCTGTTGTTTACAAATATACACAGACCGCCACCCCTTGTCTTACCGTATATCCCGCAGCTGTATGTTATCAATGTTGTCGTTCAGCCACGACTCGGTGAAACATAAGATATTACAGTTTTTAATGTCCCGTTGGTAGGATAACTGTAATCTTAGGTTGTCTACCTTATTTTCAAATGATTGAACATTGGCTAATAGGACTGATGGAAGAGGCAGATTACTCGCTCGCCGTCGGATCCTTACAAGGCACCCCGACCTACGTCCACGATATCTCTGTCTCTTTCTCATGCGAATGACAGGGATTTGGGCCTTGTCGGGTGTCTGTAGATTATCCTTCGCGTCCGACTCGTTGAACAAAAAATCTTCGTCCAATACGAGGTGAGTAATCGCTGTCCTGATATCCAGAAGCTCTTTTTGGTCACAACAGACGGTGGCAGAAACATTATGTACAGAATAAATTACAAATAACGCCAAAAAACACACAATAGTAGAATTGGTTAGAGGGTTAGGCTTCCACACAGCCATATTTCCAAGTTACAGCGTTTGTTTAAGGAAAACAGATGAAACACAGAGTGGACTACCTGTGCTAATTAGCTATCTGCGTCTCCGAACAACTCTGTGTAAACTGAAGACAAACACCACAAACGTGTTGTCACTGAAAAATACTGTCAGCTGCAACTGTGTTAAAACCGGTTAAAACAGTGTACACTGTATTTTGCATTTGTGAAATTATTTTGATGTGAGGGATTTATGTTTGTAGAACTGTACCGCAATTGAGAATTGATTCACGTTTTGATGGAGTATTTGGCTGTTTTGGCTTCCAGAGCCAATTCGCCCTTTAAACAGAACATGTAAGGTCCTTGGACTAAGGAGTAACATTGGGCACCTTCAGTCCAATATTGGGCTAAAACTACCTGTCAAGCAGAAGATACAGGTCTGCGTGGCCTACCACTAAACATCATGTCCACAATGTAGGCTACTTACACTGTGCAGTCCTTCACACACTCCCCACAATTTCCATCCTTCAGATAACTGGCTGCACGGTTAGAATACAGGATACTAAGATCCTCTGGATTCTTCTTTCCTGTAAATTAATTTACAGTGGTAACAATGTATCAGAACATGGCAGGCTTGTGCTGGTTTCAGAAAACGTGTCTTAAATTATGCACAATATAGAAACACACGTAGCTAGATCTGAGAAAACACTAGATTATAATCTAGAACATTGAGCCGATTCTTGTGACTGGTTAGAGGACTAGTTAGCTGCCTACCTGATTTCTCCACTTCTTTGATCGCCTGGCTGTAAAGACAGACAGCCTCCCCATACTGTCCAGCTTTAAAGCATTCGTTGCCTGTTTTTTTCAACTCTGTCCAAGAAGACTGGGAACGACGCTTATGTGGCATATTGGATTTGCTGTAACATGATAGACACAGTTAAATGAAAGGTTAGCTAGCTAGCTAACGTTAGCTTGCTAGCTAGCCAACTTTTACAAACCAAAATAACTTGTTGTCCATTCTAAGTTAGTTAGCTACATACTTACCTTGAATAATGAATATATTTGTATAAATATGTGTCTGGCTAGCATAACTTTAGCTAGTTAATTCCTTAAAAGGGGTTAGCAAGAAGCTAGCCTATGTGTCGACTTACCAATGAGTGAATTAATGTTGATTGCAGGGCAAACTAGTGGTTGTGTAGCTATCTATAATCTACTGTACTGTATTGTACTCGTCCGCAAATCGTCTAATATATAACGTAGCAAGTAAAACCAAGATGTTAAACAATCTAGCTACCTAGCTAGAGGTGTAAAATGTGTCTTGCTTGCACGATAACCAACATCAGCGTGTCGTCCGCAACACTAAAAAAGTACTTCCGGGTCACAGAATTTGGAAAATGTTCTAAATAAAAGAACTCCACGTAATAGTAGAAACTTGTCAATAACCTATATTTATTCATGATATATGAAAAATAATTGTCTAAACATTAACAATGATTCATATTTGTTCCTATTTAAGTGACATTTGCATTAAATGTGGGTTTTAATACCAGTTCCAAGGTCAAATAAATGGCCACAATGTGAATAACTGTATATGGAATACATATTGGCTTATAGAGCAAAATATATTCTGGGTGCCGCAGTAAAAGTATTGTAGGGAATACTCAGTAGGGTCTGTAGAATGTATTTATGGTGTCATTTCATGGGGCTCTGAATAATACATAGTGTTTCTGTTTTACTCCACCCATTCCATTGGCCATAATGTGAATCACTGTATATGGAATACATTACATACATTAATTAAAATGAGATTTGTTTGGCACTTGCCTACACACAATACCCCATAATGTCAAAGTGGAATGATCTTTTTTGAAAATATTACAAATATGCAGGCGTCTTTCCTAACTCAGTTGCCGGAGAGGAAGGAAACCGCTCAGGGATTTCACCATGAGGCCAATTGTGACTTTAAAACAGTTACATAATTTAATGGCTGTGATAGGATAAAACTGAGGATGGATCAACAACATTGTAGTTACACAATACTAACCTAATTGACAGTGAAAAGAAGGAAGCCTGTGCAGAATAAAATAAGATAAGAGTGTCTGCTAAATGATGTGAATGTAAATGTAAATAAAAATATTCCAAACATGCATCCTGTTTGCAAGAGGGCACTGAAGTAATACTGTAAAAAATGTGGCGAAGCAATTAACTTTTTTTCCTGAATACAAAGTGTTATGTTTGGGGCATATCCAATACAACACATTACTGAGTACCACTCTGCATATTTTCAAGCTATGTGGTGGCTGCATCATATTATGGGTATGCTTGTAATCGTTAAGGACTGGGGAGTTTTTCCGATAAAAAATAAACAGAATGGAGCTAAGCACAGGCAAAATCCTAGAGGAAAACTTGGCTCAGTCTGCTTTCCACCAGACACTGGGAGATGAATTCACCTTTCAGCAGGACTATAAGCTAAAACACAAGGCCAAATCTACACGGGAGTTGCTTACCAAGAAGACCGTGAATGATCCTGAGTCGCAGAGTTACAATTTTGACTTAAATCTACTTGAAAATATATGGCAAGACCTGAAAATGGTTGTAATGACCAACAACCAAATTGACAGAGCTTGAAGAATATGTAAAATAATAATGGACAAATGTTGCACAATCCAGGTGCAGACCCAGAAAGACTCAGCTGTAATTGCTGCCAAGGTGCTTCTACAAAGTATTGACTCAGGGTTGTGAATAGGCTACTTCTGTAAATTAGATATTTCTGTATTTCCTTTTCAATAAATGTGCAAACATTTCTAAAAACATGTTTTCACTTTGTCATTATGGGGTATTGTGTCAATTTTTATCAATTTTGAATTCAGGCTGTAACAGATGCACGTTCACTTCTGTTCTGGGCAAGGAGGTGCACGCTATCTCAAGAACATGTACTCTTGTATGGTGTTAGATTTCCTTTTTGGTTCTTCCTTTCGTTGGAAAGGTGCTTGCCTCGTTTCTATTTGAAGATCAGGCTGCATGACCAGTAACCCATCCAGTGTCACTCAGCAGCAGCCTAACGTAGCTAAAATCCTTAACAAAAAAACACAACTAAACAGTTGCAAAACGAAATTAAAACGAGAGTTTCTATTGGAGAAATTCAAGGTAGGTCCCTCCCCATTCCGTTCTGTTTGCTTCCGTTTAAGAAATGTTTTGCAACAGAATAGGCGTAATGAATATGGCCAAGCTGTCTTTTCATTTTTTTTTTTCATTTTAGCAGACACTCTTATCCAGAGCGATTTACAGTTAGTGAGTGCATACATTTTTCATACTGGCCCCCCGTGGGAATTGAACCCACAACACTGGCGTTGCAAGCGCCATGCTCTACCAACTGAGCTACAGGAGGCCCTGTAGCTTTCTCTCAATGTACTTTCTCCACTGCTCATGAGGCCACTCAGGGTTCTGGGGCCAATCACTTGAACAACACTGCTGTTAGTAGGCCTATCAGTCAAGGAAATGTATGTAAATCCTTTTTTACATCGGGTGAGGTACTATACAACATGACAATAACCCAGAGTCATGTCTAGATGGGATACAGCGTTTGTCAAATTCATTTCAAAAGTTAATTGTTTTATTTTTATATTAGCTAACCCTAACCCTTTTCCTAACCTGAACCTACTTATCCTAACCTGCTACATTAATTATCCTAACCTGCTGCGTAATTTCTCCTAAACCTGCTATGAAAAGTCAAATTTGACAAAAGATGTATCCCTTCTAGACAAAACCATAACCCAGCCCAGCGCCATATACCCAGCCTAAAAAACAAGCAGAAGCAGGTGGCAAGCAAATACTACATGGAAGGAATATATGGGTTGTTCCACGAAATGAGTGCCTTTTGCGACCCTTTGATATTTTAAGTAGAAATTATGCACAAGTATTGCATTTTAAAATCAGTGATATTAAGTGCCCTTTAGACCACATGGAAAATTCAATAAATCAGATTTTTTATATTAATAAATAAAAATAAATTCTGCATTTTGACATGTCTCCATGCATCCTCTGTGACTTCTACTAATATTTATTTCAGGGTCGGCGTTATGTCCTGGCCCCCCCAACTGTACCTCCTTTCCCATCCTAAATAAAATATTGAAATATTGATCATTTATTTGACGAAGACAGAAAGACTCATCATTCTCAGATAAAGCATCCGAGCGAGCAAAACAGCGCCCCTCTGTCTCAGTATATGTAGGCCATGTTTCTGATGCTGTCTGGACAAAAAGAGTATGGCATGTCATACTCTTTTTAATCAGACAGTATCAGATACATGGGCTACATATAGCAAGACAGAGGGGCACTGTTCCGTTTGCTCGGAAGCTTTCTCTGGTGAGATAGTGTCAGCAGAGAGGAAGAGGCGAAGTGATACTATTAAGCTATATGAAATTGTTTTAAGAAGGTCATACCAAGGATCATGTAGCTATCTGATTTAGAATTTTAAGACCCCTTGAAGTATAAAAAAAATATTAAACAATAATTTTTGGCCTTACTGCTATTAGCCCATACAAATGCATTGAATAACATATTCACTACATGCAACAACAGATAGTCCGCCCAAAAAATCTAAAGGAAGTTTGTTCTGAAGTGTCTGTCCTATATCTGAGAGATATAAGTAGGATCAGGAATGTATTTTACATGTATTTAACCCCTTATTTTGGGCATTAAACAGTCTCCTATACAGTGCACGACTCCAACACCATCATTAAGTTTGCCGATGACACAACAGTGGTAGGGCTGATCACCGACAACGACGAGACAGCCTATAGGGAGGAGGTCAGAGACCTGGCCGTGTGGTGCCAGGACAACAACCTCTCCCTCAACGTGATCAAGACAAAGGAGATGATTGTGAACTACAGGAAAAAGAAGAGGACCGAGCACACCCCCATTCTCATCGACGGGACTGTAGTGGAGCAGGTTGAGAGCATCAAGTTCCTTGGTGTCCACATCACCAACAAACTAACATGGTCCAAGCACACCAAGACAGTCGTGAAGAGGGCACGAAAAAAACCTATTCCCCCTAAGGAGAAAGATTTGGCATGGGTCCTCAGATCCTCAAAAGGTTCTACAGCTGCACCATCGAGAGCGTCCTGACTGGTTGCATCACTGCCTGGTATGGCAACTGCTCGGCCTCCGACCACAAGGCACTACAGAGGGTAGTGCGTACGGCCCAGTACATCACTGGGGCCAAGCTTCCTGCCATCCAGGACCTCTATACCAGGCGGTGTCAGAGGAAGGCCCTAAACATTGTCGAAGACTCCAGCCACCCTAGTCGTAGACTGTTCTCTCTACTACCGCACGGCAAGTGGTACCGGAGAGCCAAGTCTAGGTCCAAGAGGTTTCTAAACAGCTTCTACCCCCAAGCCATAAGACTCCTGAACATCTAATCAAATGGTTACCCTGACTGTTTGCCTTACCACCCCGCCCCCCCTTTACGCTGCTACTACTCTCTGTTTATTAACTATGCATAGTCACTTTAATAACTCTACCAACATGTACATATTACCTCAATTACCTCGACTAACCGGTGCCCCCGCACATTGACTCAGTACCGGTACCCCCTGTATATAGCCTCGTTATTGTTATTTTTACTGCTGCTCTTTAATTATTTGTTACGTTTATTTCGTATTATTTTATTTTGTATTTTTTGGGGGGTATTCTTTCTTAAAACTGCATTGTTGGTTAAGGGCTTGTAAGTAAGTATTTCACTGTGTTGTATTCGGCGCATGTGACAAACAACATTTGATTAGATTTTATGTGTCTCCATGTGTCCACTTTACTCACTCAGCCAGAGCGGGACACCTGTGTACAGGACAGTTCTTAATCAGCAAAAATTTGCCTCTGTTCCCTCCCTATAAAACACCACACAAATCCACACAGCAGACATCTGACACATTGCATTAGTGATCTAATGTAATGTTGTCACTTCTGTTGACAATGAATGAATGTTCAACAAGAAATGCAATTGTAGAAAAGAAGCACCCAGAGCATTGTTTATCATCGTTCCTCTTGTCCATACACACAGGGCATCTGGACACGGTACGCTTCCTGTTAGAGGCTGGGGCCAACCAGGATCACAGACGAGAGGCACACAGCACTCATGGAGGCTTGTATGGTGAGAACACACAGACACACACACCCACACACTTTATGCAGCACTATTTGTCACGCCCTGATCTGTTTCACCTGTCTTGTGCTTCTCTCCACCCCCCACCAGGTGTCTCCCATTTGTCCCCATTATCCCCTGTGTTCGTCTTGTTCCGTCAAGTCCTACCAGCGTGTTCACGTGTTTCCTGTACTCCAGCTTTTTGTTTTTCCTTGT